ACTTTTTAGAGCTTGAAAAAGAAACAGTTAAAATAAAAAAAAATTACTTGCTTTTGGCAGATTCTGAAATAAAAAAAAAAAACAAGAAATTAAAATATAAATTTAAAAGATAAAATAAATTTTATACTTCCAACAAGTTTTCGCTTTAATTTTTTAATCTTCATACTGCAAGTACTAATAAATTCTAACCCAGTATTTACCAAGAGCAATTGATAAAGCTGCTTCTAGAAGCCAATAAAACAAATTTTGTCAAAGAGTGCTCTTACCGTGTCATGTTCACTTAGGGTTTGCTGTGCGCTCCGGAAAACAGGCACTTTCTTCTTATGCATAGTGGCACTACCAAAAGCTGATAAACCATTTCCATAGTTCTCCTCAAGTTGATGACTAATTATTGACACTCTGTTGCTAGAACTTAAATCACTGTCAACATTCACTGGAGCATTTAGGTATTCAACAGGTGGTGGTGGAAAATGTGCATCTGTATCATTTTCATTTTTCGTCAAACTATCATTCATCTGCGTTATCAGCGTACTATTTGCTCCAACTTCCTCACCACATTCGGAAGGCTCAAGGGAAGTCCTTGAAGAGGTATAACTGAAAGAAGATGCATTATAAAGTTTTCATTAGTTGCTTTTAGAGCCATAAATAATCAAAGAAAATCTTGACAATCTCTTCAAAAGTTATAGAATTCTTTTTAAAGCCATATGAATAAAATTTACCCGCTATCTTTTTTATTTGCGAAACCTGGAGGAGAGTGCTGAGTTTTGTTTGTACCCTTTGGAGGATTAGTAACATTTTCACGAACTGATTCTCGGAGGCTCAAACCACCGTAGCGACTAAAACTTAGTGCATAATCATTTAAATGAAATACAACAACTCAGATAAATTTAATTAAAAATGAATTATTGTCGTGTTGTAACAGCTGTGAAACTAACCTAAAAGTTGTTGCTCCTGACTGATTTTCAAGAGAAAAAACAACCTTTTTAGCCTTTTCATTATCTTCCTCTTCCTCGTGACACACCTAAAAAGTTTAATTTATTGTCCACAGAATACATCAAAAAACATTAAAATTAAAAACATTAAAAACAATCTTTAAAATCCAACAAGAATTTATGCTTAAAAAAATAGATAACAAAAGTCAGAAAGTCCTCACAAGAGAGGCGCATTTATTTCAGTTCTACACCCGAGAATAACGAAATTCTCAAAAAATCGTATAAGCAACAATTACCTTGCTTCTTCGTTTAGCAAGAGCATTCCTTAAATCAGCGTCGAAATCAGGTGGAGGTGCGATAACTACACCATCAGACTGTTCCCGCCGAATAGCTGGTTTTAAACGGACACAGGAAAGAGTTTCTGCGCTAATTCCAGGTAAGCTCGACACTCCTGGTACTAACGAGTCTTTCTCAACAGATTTTTTCTTGATCGTACTTGTCGAGCTATTTTGTGAAGAAGCCTGAATACTGCTGAATTGGGTGATGTTAAAAAACTATTAAGAATGCATGGTTTGCCAGTAAATTATGCAATTTGCGCATTTAAAATTAAAAATATACCACTGGTTTGAAACCTCGCGGATTATCTGCTGGCGGTAATGGTGGAGGAGGTGGTGGTGGAGGAGGTGGCGGTGGGATTGAATTATTACATAACGGCACCGAATCTAATGATGCTGTTTCTTTTTTAATTGTTGAAGGAGAAGAACTAATGGAAGCTTTTTCTAACTGGTCAGAATAAGGTGTTCCACGAGGCAGTTCGGACTGCGAGTAAACTTGTGCTGTTATTTGTTGACTAGCTGCATAATGACTGCTGTTAAAGGTAGGAGGAGGTGGTGGTGGGGGAGGTGTCTTGGGACGACTTGAGGGTCGAAACGGACGCGAATATTCAGACGACTGCTGCGAATCAGAGGAACCTCTGCGAATTGATTCCGGAATGGGCAAAGGAGTTGGGGCTTCATCGGAAGAATCAAAAACTCGTAACTGCAAATCTAAAGACAACCAGTTTCGAAAGTTTATGGAGTAACATTTGAAAAACAAATAGATCACTGATCAGACGGCAACAAGCAGTTTACCAGGCGATGAATTGAAACTTTTTAATGACGATGAATAAGACTGCGGTTGCTGTGTTTGCACAGGATGAAGTGTCCTTGGTAGGCCAAAACAGGGAGGTTGAGGTGACAGTTGCGGCATCTGCCGTTGTTTCTTACGTTTCATGTCAGCTACAGATGTAAATTTCATACCCGTTACAGTTCCCATAGAATCCTGCAACAGAACCATAAACAAGATTTAACGATTACCTTACTTTCACTCTCGGAGGCTGAAAAAACAGAAAAAATTTGAAAAATACGAAGAAAAAATGGGAAAAAAAACACGGAAAACAAACATTAAAACTGGCTTGATCGAACGGGATCGGCTGAAACTGGGAAG